TTTTTTAAAAAAACGTCCTTCCGAAGCGGCCAACGGGATTTCAATTCCGATGACCGACAGCTTCTTACGGGCAAACCCCACACCAAAAATAGTGTCGACAACAATGTTCATTGAACTACCAGTGTTAAAATGAATACTTCCAACCTGAAAGTTGCTTATTATATCTATTACAATGATAATGTCATTGTAGGGGTTTTCTCGGAGGAGAAAATCATCATCAATGACTGTGATGGGTAGCAGCTTCCCCTCCCCTACATGGGCGTGGCATTACATAGCTCTCCTATCCTAGAACTCTTTTAGGTGGCACCACAAGAGGACTCTATCCCTCCACAGATAGTCGAGACTATCCAGCGATATGGACAACATTTGTCCAAATGGATCTGTAACGAGCTTCTATTGTTGGGGCCTTCCTGTGCCTCTGACTCGAGGCCCCCAGCGCAATGAAATCCTTCAGTTTTTTGGCCTTGATAAGCTTCTTGATTAGGTTTTAGAGGTGTCTGTATTCATCTATATCGTGGTCGTGGTCCCAGTGGTACTTGCAGTACTTCCTTGTATCCATAATGGAGTGACTCAAGGTCCCTCGAACTCATCAAAGATTGTTCATAATGTCGGGTCGGCCTCTCGCAATACTGAGTGGTCTGCTAGTTTCGATATCATGTCTAATCTCCCTGATTGTTGCACCGATCAGACCCTTGTTTTCCCAAGAAATTCAGTTATCTTCATACCTCTGTCGGACATATGGTCTAGGAACCTCCCTCGGTTTCCACCCGCTACATGGTTGTGCTCTCTTCTAGACCCAATTATGTTTCGACTTTGATTTGGGGATGCTCTCCTCAATAAGGATGTACGCAAACTGTCGTCATAATAAAACCTCTTGAACCTCTTACCTTGCTTTAGGGCGGCCTCTGACATGTCAGCTCGAAGGTACTTTACATCCCGAAGCTCCCTCGGGATTTATAGATCGTAGGAATGCATGCCCTCGTTTGGTTCCTATTTCAGCCGTCACAAGATCTGCACGCTCTTCTTTGGTACCTAGGCACTTGCAAATTGCACCAAGAAAAGTCTTTGGAAGTTCAAAAATCTATTGATACTTCTACCCGAAAGCGAGTTAAACCACCTCAAGGGTAAGGAACTCAGGTTGGTGAATAAAAAGTAGCACTTAAACAGGCAAGTCACTAATTTGAATGAGATGATTTGGTCGTTGGGATCCAACCAACCTCAATACACCTCCAACGTCGGGAGCTTAAACTTTTCTTGAGGCTCAGCTCTTGAGACATGGAGGGAGAAAGGATTCTCTGACTGTCACGTCTCCTCAGTGCTCTCGAATCACTGCCTCTCCACTTGCGTGGATCCATAGTTGTCTTGAAATTGTGAGTCTTCAGCCCTCTCGAGGTCGTTGTTCAGTCTTGTACCGTTATGAACTAGCGTCACCTTCTGAGGAGGGTACTCCCCTTGGGGCCTGGTCTCCTGCTATGGCAACGACGACTGTCAGGACTTCTGCGATCAGGCACGACACCTGATCCATTATCTTAAGTACTTAAGTTTTGCATTCTTCATTGCATTAGCTTCTCCATGTCTTCTATGGTGTGTTATGTGTTGGCTACTTCATTCTAATGACTCTCTTCTTTTTGTGATTGTTGCACCCATCTTCTTGTCAACGACATGACTCTGCGCTCTCTGTACTTTTTAGGACATCAAATCCAAATCTATCTTGGAGACACACCTAAGGTATAGAGCGCGAGAGGGAAGCAAAGAACAGAGTGAGCCAAATAACTAATAGTGAAATCACGTCACCTTTATTCATGAAATAAGGCCCTATTTATAGGAATGAGGAATGAAAAATTACATTATGTACCCCTAAAATGTAAAACGCTGTATGTTGGTCAATACATAATTACAAAGCCGGAAGCCTAAAATAACATCCAACCAGATGGGGTTGAGAGTCTAGAATCGCACTCGGCAAGGTTTGGATCGGGCGACTAGGCGCTGGGAGCCTGAGGAAATGACTGGCCTGGTCATTTCCCGAGTGACTATGATTGATGGGTGGACTGAGACCCCGACCTACTACTTTAGATCAGTGATTTTCTCATCATTCCGACTTGATTGAGGAATTATGGCGAATTCGTCTTCATGAGTATTGTGTCAGTAAACTTCAAAAGTGGCCGAGTCTTGTCTATCATTGGACTATTTTTCTCTTGGCCCACAGGGAATCAGCTTGATATATATGGTCCCTTGACGTATCTCTGGTGGATCCCAGACTGCCACATCTTATTATATGACGACCGTCAGAACCCTTTAAGATTCATGCTGGCACATTTTTTATGCACATCTTGAAAATCCTATACGACCCCTATTAAAACATGGCAAGAAATGTAATATTGATATTTAGTATCATCCCCTATAAACATGACGATCATTTTATGAAAAAAAAGCTTATAGACAAGACATTTTACAATTCATCAGTATTCACTCTCTCTCCCTCCATCCCTCTCTCCCTCTCTCTCTCTCTCTCTCCCCCTTCTCTTTTTCTTACGCTATAATTTGTGAGATATAATTCACGGACAAATCAATATTTAACATTAAGCATGAACAGTGACAGGTTAGATTATTTATAGAATTTAAAAAATGAGAAAAAATATTTAAATTTTACTTGATTATTACAGTACATCATTACCATGTACATGACAAACATCTTTCAAAAATCATTTATTCCAAAATATTTCAACTAACATCATAAAAAGTTTCAATGAACACAACTCAAAGTCTCTTGAGAAATTTTAAGTAAGACAATTATGATATTTAGGATTGTGAAAATTGTTTAATAACTCAACTCATGATTAAAAATAATTGTGTTTAAAAGATTTTGATTATAATAATTATGATACTTGACATATGATATAATTAATTCATCACTTCACTACTCATATTAAAAATAATTATAATTAATACAATTTTTTTCTATGATAATTCGAATACATTTAAAAAAGTTTATAGTAGATTCAATTATTTAAAGTTACATAAAATCAATTCATGACTAACAATAATCTATACAATCTTTTATTTTAGAAGTATATGGCTTAAATACAAAATGTCATCAAATATTTTTTTTCTCATTAGACTCTAACAATAACTAACTTTGTTTTTACCAATCAAACCTCTTAATTCAGTAATGCCTTAATTTAGCTTATAATTTTACCTAAATTTAAGCCCAACTGCTTAATTCTTTACAATGACACCCTTCCCAACCCCACCAGCCATAATTTGACGCGTGGCTCTCCGAGCTTTTTAATGCCACGTGGCATGCATTGAGAGTATGGTTTTAGTAATCGGTGAACATAACTGCCATTAAGAATAAAAGAAAAAAAGCCCTAGACGTGCAACTGCATCTTTCTGCTTAAAACCAGGCAGCCAGTCCTGCCGGCCTCCGCTGTCTGTACCCGCTTGTCCGTCTCTCGGTCGCTCTCCTCCCTCTTCTCCACCCTCATTTCTCTTTCCTCGAGGGACACTCCGGAGATAGAAATTGATTGAGAGCGACAGAAAGCTAGAGAGAGAGACTCCAATCTTTTGGACTTCCATCTATTCCCGGCGTATCGGCGAGGAGACCTGTTGAGAATCTTGAGATATGAAAGGGGAAGAAGGTAGAATGGAAGACGAGAAGAACGTGACGATTGATGATCTGAGGAAGAGAATGGCAGAGTTCGCGAGGGAGAGAGATTGGGATCAGTTTCACAGTCCCAGGAATCTTCTCTTAGCTCTGGTAATCCCTCTACCTATGCAAAACCCTAACCCTCTTTCATCCGTCCTTCCCATTCCCCCAACCTCTGTTTAGGTTTCGGTATTTTAAACGAGTAGACATTCCCAAAACCATTCTGAACCATTATGGTTTTGGCATTTCATCTCTGTTTCTGTCACGAAAAGTAATTTTACTTCAACATCGCCTTGCTTTTTTGTTTGGCCCAAAAGTGTGGAGTGTATGGGGTCCCAAGTAGAGTAAACTAGCTAGAGCAATAGGGATTCTGTTCCTCTCCAATTATCAAGGCAACTACACTGCAGTTTCTGAGTATTTAATTTTTCAAAAAAAAAAAAAAAATTGCGAGTGAATCGCAAGTCATTCAAAAAATCTTGCAGGAGATGCAACTACCATGGTAACTGGTGAGGATCTAAATCCGATTTGTATTTTTCTTGTTTTGATTCATAAGTTGATTTCATTATTATTTTCAGTTTTAAATTTTAGTTCTCAGAGACTAATTTCCTCCCCCTCTCTTTCACACAACACACACTCAATTTGATTAAATTCTGGAAGCAATGGATTAAAAAAAATTGATTTGTATTTTAATATATTTTAATTCCCTCCAAAAAATATTTAATATAAAAGTAAAATTTTATGATTTGTATAATAATATATACAATTTTGTTAGATAATTAAAAAAAAAAACACGTAGCGCTGCGTACCTCTGAAGTTATTCAGAGGGCATAGGGGTTACATCCGCGTTATACCCTGTAACTTTCTTGTAACTTACCTCTATCTATCGGAACTACAGAAGCGTGAAAGTTATTTATTGGTTACAGGTAGGTTACAAGGGTATAATGCGGATATAACTCCCCAATACCCTCAGAATAATTTGCCGACGTAAAAGAGCACTGACTGGAGATATCGGATTATTAAAAAAAGCATCATAGCATAATAAGTCATTAAATCTATATAATATTATATATATTTATATATAACAATATTGACGGGTGAAGGAGGGTGAGGAAGAACTGCACAGCGACGAGTATGACTCGTATGCATGTGAGGATAAAATTAATGATATATTTGGTATCATAAAAAGTTAATGATGTAATTTGAATATATATAATATGAAGAATACTATAAATTAATCAAATGCTTGAAAATAATTTGTGGTCAATAAAAAACATTCTATGATAATTTACCTTTTTTTTTAAGTTAATTTCAAGTATTTCTTGTTTTTTTTTTTTTAATTATTATTTGTTTATGATTTTGTTACTTTTTTTAAAGTTAATTTCAAGTATTTCTTGTTTTTTTTTAATTATTATTTGTTTATGATTTTGTTAAAGGTTGGAGAGGTTGGGGAGCTTTCAGAAATATTTCAGTGGAAAGGAGAAGTGCCCAGGGGATTACCAGACTGGGACGAGGATGAGAAGGAACATTTAGGCGAAGAGCTCTCTGATGTTCTTCTCTATCTGGTTAGGCTCTCAGATATCTGCGGTGTGGATCTGGGGAAGGCCGCTCTCAGGAAATTGGAGCTCAATGCTCGCAAGTATCCTGTACAGCAATGCATGGCGTCTTCCAAGAAATATACACACTACAGTAACTCTAAGCTCCAAGGTGAGTCTCTCTGTACTGGAAATGAGAATGGTAATGAAGATGCCATTACTGAGCTACCTTAGCATCCATTTTCCTCCAGAAATGGCGGGCCTTTTTGGCATCTGCGCGTTTTGTCATGTTGATCTTAACTCCTTTTGTTTCTTTTGTTTTCAATAGAAGTATAAAAACCAAATCTTTTTTGTTCTTTTGTGGCCTGCAAGGAAATGTTAAATCTTTTGGGCTGCTTGGAAGTAGCAGACATTGATGTAAAGGATACTTTATGAAATATTGTTGTTTTTTTGGCTCAATTATAGTCCTCAAACAGCAAAACGTTACAGGTGAAAAAGGCTCAACCGGAGCCACAAAAAGTCAAGAAGTACAATTTGAACATAGAAAGCCAAATTGGAAAGAAAACTCCAAAGAAAAAACTAGGATCCAAAGTAAGACTCAGCTTTAGCGCGACACGGGAATTTTGTTGTTTCTTGTTTTCCATCAATTTCTATGATTTGAGTGTTTTGGGATTCTATTGATGAGTTTTGTAGTATTTGGCTTTTATTTTTTTTTGCTTATAATTCGATATTTAATTGGGAAATTATGGAGGCCAACAGCAAGTACTTCCCGTGTCTCCAACTTTCCGCTGGTGGAATGCAAGGTGTTGTCTTTTCGAATGCAGTTCATGTCTGCTTTCATGGCTTTTGAGAGCTTTGTCTTCATAGTTCTATTTCCCGTACTAATTTTACTGCTCTGAAAATAGAATAACGTGCTGTATATGCCATTGATGAGAGACTGAACATTATAATCTCGAAAGGTCGTACTTTATAAATTCGAAGGATCAAGCAAGTTATGGGCACTATTGATATTGCTCGTCATAAATGTTGTCTGCTGCAATATTATTTTGATTTATGGTTTTAATTTTCAAAGAATGGTTCTCATTGTATGATTGGAAAAATACATTCTTGCTCGTATAGGAAATGCAAACATTTTTTACATGGAAGCCCTTCAAGGCAAAAATTAAGACAACCTACTCTGTTGAAATAATTTTTACTGTTCATAATCGTGAATCACAGGGGGTCACCTTCTCTTGATATTGGAGAAAATTCATAACCATGTAAAAGACATTGTAGTAAATATTCGCTGTAGTGGGGGTGAAGGTAATTTGGAGATGTCAATGTGGACGCCCTTTTACATTTGTGGAGATGATCTTCTTTTGAAAAATGAGTGAAGCAAATGACCCACAGTTGAGTTGGCTTGGAGAATCTTTGTTTGGTAGTAGGGAAGTTTGAATTATTTGGAATTTATGCGCGAGCGTAGGTGATTGAGATAGTCCCTCTCTTACGAGGGAGATTTGAATGACTTAATGATGATAGTGTTGATTAAAGATATAAAGTTCTCTAGGATATGAACATTTTATCTTTATCAATTGCTCGGAATATGTAGAATGGACCATACTTGTAGGTTTTAGGTTGCATGTTTTGGCCACGGTATCATAATTTTTATATGAGTGCATCATTGGATTGGTCATATCACACCCTCCTTTGATTATGAAGGATAATGGATTACTCACATGCGTTCACCCTATTTGGCTGGCCCGATGGATCTGTGTGGATCAATTTGAGTTATTGGTGATGACGATCGATGCATTTGATGTATCTAATCAATTAATTGTTCACACCTTTTTGTAGCTATCATGAATATTAATGAAATATTTTTGATAGTGTCATATTGATTCAAAGAATTTGAAAAGGTTACTAAAGTGCATTGAGGGTCACCAATACAATTTGTGCTGAAATGATTCTCTTCTAGTGTAATCCAATGCTACTAAGGCCCTTGTAATTGAAATTTGTTGTGTATGAACTCTAGAAAATTCAAAATAAGTTGAGTGGCATAGATTGACACCTTTAAATGCAATTTGTAAAGATTTGTATAGAGGTATTATTGATGGCGGATTACTGGCTAGAGGAGTGATGATTATAGTTGCACGCATCACAAGGAATGCGTATTGTATACCTTGTTGCCCGACACAAAAAAGTGTTGGTTGGTATGGCCAATTCACCCCTCTAACGAGGTCAATTTAAAGTTTCTTTTATTTGTGTTAATTTTGATGATGAGATAACTTTTAATTATATTGCATACCTTGCTGCCCGACACAAAAAAAGTGTTGGTTGGTTTAGCCAATTCACCCCTCTAATGAGGTCAATTTAAAGATTCCTTTTTTTGTGTTAATTTTGATGATGAGATAACTTTTAATTTATGAAAATTGGAATCCATTTGATTTTTAAAATTAATTTGAATTTCTTGGAATAGCTTTTATTAGGTTGTTAGAGATCGACCTTTTTGTATCAAATTTCATGATTGATTATATTAAAATTTTATAGCACTAACAATTCCCCAAGTATTTTCAAAAGACCAACTTTGAAAACTCAAAAATATATTGCATCATAAAAAATCTATACCACAAAATTATGACCTAATGAATTTCAAAGTGTGATCATTTTTTAGGAGCATGCCCTTGCATGTGCTAATTCTAGCCCTTCTTGACGGAAAAATTTTATGTCCGGACTCCGGATGTACAGCAACGTCCGAAGTCCAATGAGACCATGCCACCTATACGTGTGAATCCCATGCCAGAATATTGTAAAAAAAATAAAATAAAATGTAAAGACTTTTTAAAAGAGCGTAAAAACATTCAGTCGTACAACAACGTTCGGAGTCCAATGAGACGATGCCACCTATATGTGCAAATTCCACGCCAAAATATTGTAAAAGAATTTTAAAAAAATGTAAAGACTTTTTAAAAGAGCGTAAAAACATTTTTTCTTTTACGTCTTCATTTCATTAAAGAAAACATCCTTGCACTTTATGAATTTTTTTATTATGATAATTCCATAATATGTGCCCAAACACATTTCAACCATATTCAATAAAAGTGCACTTGACAGATTTCAAGTTAAGCTTACTCTTGGACCCTGCGTCAATGTAAACATATGCAGAACACAGAAATACTTTTAGATGAGGTAGATTTACCACATTGTCACTCCAGACTTTATCAGGTAAGCCTTCCTTCAAGTGTACTAACAAACCACAATTAATCAGATGAACAACAATATTCACAGTCAGAACTATTTTTGCAAACCTGCATGTAGACTCGTACTCTTGGCATTCTCCATGATTGTTCTATTTATGCCTCAAATACTTTATTTTATTGTGTAATTCTTGGGACTGTGAACTCATATTTGATCTTCTATGTAACAAAAAATTCATGAACTTCTAATAATGATACTCACCTTCATTATCTGATATGAAACACTTCAGCTTCAAACCTATTTCATTTTTTATCATATCATCCACCTCTTACACACTTCAAATATATCAAATTTTGGTTTTAAGAAGTAAACCCACATCTTTCAGGTGTGATCATTAATAAATGTGACAAAATAATAATAACCTCTAATGAACTTAATTGGATTAAGGTCTCATACATCATTATGCACTAAATCTGGTTTCTTGGACTTCACCACTGACCTAGTTTTAGATAAAGAAACTTTCTTCTGATTGTTATTTATACAATCTTCACAAAAATCTTGATCTATTGTTTTTAAACCTTGAAACTTATTTTTAGGAAGCAAGGACTCTATACCTTTCTCGCTCATATGGCTAAGTCTACGATGCTAGATATCTACATCAACCTTGGTTCTAGTCACATCAATGAAATATGCCATGTCATTGATAAGGTAAAAAGTGCTCTCAATGTTATCCCAAGCCATCACTATTGCACTCTAGTCATCTTCCAAGAGTCTCCTATGAAAGTAGTTATGTATTCTAACTTTGTCAGTTGTCTCACCGAGATGAATATTTTCTTTAGACATAGAATATGCTTAACTTCAGTAAGTTTCCAATTTATTTCTTATTACAACTTGATATTCACATCACCCTTTCCCACAATATTGCAAGTCTTATTGTTTTACAAATAAACCTTCCTTAGATCAATATGAGTATAATTTTTAATACCTCTTTGTTAGGACATGCATGAAAAGAGGCACATGAATCTACCATCTAAGATTAAATTTTGACTATGGATAAAACCAGAGAGGCACCTTGGATTTCAGTTGTGGAGGCATTTGTAGAGAGATTCATTTCATGTCCTCCAGCACCAATGTTCTTTGGAGTTTTGTAGTTTTTCTCGAAATGTCTATTTTTTCCCAGTTCAAACATTATCCTTTATCTTTTCCTTTGCTTAACCTAGATTTTTTTCTTCTGGACTTGAATTTGTCTGTGCTTGTATTTATATCCAGATTCATTCCTCTATTATTCAACACAGAAACGAAAGATTCTTCATTTACGGCCTTTTCATGAACTTCATTCAGCCCCAATCCAATGATGTCATCTCATTTCAACTTCATATTCCCTAAAGGGTTACTCACCACTATGACTAATCCATTTTGGTTGTCTAACAATGACAATGTAATTAAAAAAGTCCTCACTTCATCATAAAATTTGATCCCCACATAACATAACTGGCTTGTTACAGTGTTAAAATTGTTCAGGTGTTTGGTCACAGAATTATCTTTTGTCATATTCATGTTGAATAATCTATTTATCAGAAAAATCTATTTTGAAGCAGAAAGTTTTTGTACATCATTGTCATCACTATCACAAGATCTACTTTGGTTTTCTCGTTCTCTATATTGAACACAACAGATGAAGAAATTAAAAAACTGATCAAACTTAGGGTTTTTTTGATCCAACACCCCTCTTTCCTTCATAGTCATAGACTCTGACTTCTTAGTAACTTCTTGTAGTTTTATATACGATTTTGTTTATATAATAAATTATTCACTTGCATCCTCTACAACGTAAAGTTTGCCTATTGAACTTCTCCACATATTAACTTACTTCATCGATCATTGCTCCCACTCGAATCAAATAACATCGTGGAACAGGATCACACATCGTTAAGTAAACATGGGCTTTGATGAAGTAAGTTATCCACTAGGATGCTAAGATAAAACATGGGCTTTGATCAAACAACAACGTGGAATAGGATCACACCAACTTGAGAAATCCAAAACAAAAAAATTCGAACAGAAGCATAAAAAAATAATATTAGGAAACCACACCAAGATTTGCATGCAAAAACTCAAGAATGGGAAACATTTGCGAAACCAGACCACAAAAAAAATTCACTATGATGAACCAGAATTGTACAAAGA